AACAAAAGTTTTACGAGCCCCGTTTTGGCGGACTTTTGATTGGGCTCGTAAAAATTTTGTTGTACTTGACGACCAGGATATTCTGCGAAAACGGAAAATATCACATTTGGTTCACCTCACTTTTCTCTACAAGACTAGATGTAAACGGTCCTTGAGTTTCCTTTTGTTCGAGCGCCACAAGACTCGTAAAACAACAAAAATCGTGACAGAATCACGCGTTACGTGGACAGGCCGAGTTCTAATTATCCTTGCGTCTTTTCTACTCAACATGAAGATCGTCTACATGTGACTGAGCCGGGACAACTTGTGAGCGAACAGTATTTCACAGGAACCGGGAATAAAAAGAGGCAAGAGAATGTCTGGTTCCACTTGATCCCACTTCGTACCATGATATTAGTAGAAAAGCCAGAAATCTGGCGGAATTAGAAGACTGTTTGAACAGTGACAAAAAACATGATCTCGGGTATAAATGTCAGCCTCTATTCGGGGATCTCTTCGATTTCAAGGATGTCCTTGATACGCTACATATGAGGTTGAGAATTTCTGATGTTTTATTGAATGAGATCCTGAAACATGCATCTCAAACGCAGAAATGTGGAAAAGATCGATTACAGGAACTTTTCTGTTCAACAGTATTTTTCGTCTCAAAGATTCGCTTACGGCATAAGTACGCGCAATCCAAGACCGCCGTATGATATCATATTGACTGGTTCTGATGTTAAGCCCCCTGCCCCCGCCTCCCATCAGAAACCTACCTCTGAAACTATAAGTCCGATCTTGATCAAACTTTTAGGAGATGCTGATCGAAATTGTTTCTTTGGTTCCATCGTGCATGGTTTGTGAGATGTCGTCACAACAGTGATCAAAATGAGGCTGTTCGTAGCTCCCAGATTTCTAAAACACTATGTCTGTTCAAGAGTAGAAGTTTTAAACTTGATAAAATAGTAACAGCAGCTGATCTTAGGTTCATGTTTATTTAATTTAAACATGAATCTAAAAACAGCTGCTGTTACTATTTTATCAATCGCAGATTTCTCGGTAACGAGACGTTGTGGAGAGCTCCGGCTGGTCTTAAATTGACGAAAACATATGTGCCCAGAGGCTGATAGAGCCGGATTTTTGATATGTTGCTTTTCAAATTAATGGTCAGCGTCAAAAGTCCGAAATTCAAAAGAGTCTCATTAACTTTGGTAAGATGTTTTTCTGATCACATATATGTTCTTTTAATCGAATATTGAAAATCGGGCACTATCAGCCTCTACCCACATGTGTCAGCTTCAATTTAAGACCTTCCCGAACTCTCTACTATGTTTCGTTACTGAGAAATCTGGGAGCTACGGAATGGTGTTAGGATGAAAGCCTAGATATGGTATCTGCAGATACCGGTGATGCAAGTTTTAGGACTTCCAGCAAAACTCTCGTAACTCTTGATTACAACATCATTCAGAGCTGGAAGATATCTCATTTTGATCAGAAATCTTTGCTCTATTTTCTGGTATTATTGAAAGTAATTTTCGATTTCCTCTTTAATCGGAAAGTAAAACTTTTCTTAGAACTTTTAACAGAATCAATGTCTTAAATGCACTGAAAAACGTTTTTCTTATAATTTGATAGAAAAAACACTAAAACAAAACCTCGTTGTGTTGTGATGCAACAATATGCGAACTATCGAGTCGCAACGCGCAAAGATGATGTCCAATCTGTTATGACGGTCGACTTCCGCGTTGATTTTGCGTTACAACGGAAAGATAATGACTTTGGACAGACTTCTTTACCTACATGGAAGAGTATGAAACTTCATTTTTCTACATTGTTCCTGTCACTGAGTGAATCCACTTTCAAACGTTTTTCTTTCGCTCAATTTTTGTTGTAAACAAATTCAAATTTATCTATAGATACCGCAAAACGATTAGGGAAGTCGTAAAGGGCTTGAAGAATTGGGTTGCTAAAACAGTTGTCTTTTAATTCTTTATTAATCCGGTATATTAGACAAATCAAGTATTCCATTTACTTTTTTATTGTTTCATCCTCTCCAGCTTCCCGATTCTATAGTAAAAGGAATAACAATAAAATCTTACGGTTTAGTATGACTTGTTTTAATCAAGTTCAATTTCCAAATGTTTTTCTGGCGAACGTATTGGTATACTTGCTGATGCTTGTCTCTTATCTCTGTTATGTTCAACATTATGGTCAATACAAAAAGGTAATTGATCAATTTCATTTACATAACCATATTTTTTACATCTTTGATTATTATTGTTGACATAATGACATCTGAACAGACCTGAACAAGGAAAAACACATGAAAGTATAGAAAAAGAAACCATATATTCACACAATTTTTGTAAAGAAAGAAAGAAATTCTTGTATGTAATCCGGCAAGTCGCATACACTTGTTTGTGTAGGGAAGAGGGATGTCAATAGATTTGCTAAACTATCACCGGTTTCAAGGGAACACATAGTTGTACATACTCCGAAAACGTTTTTTCTAGTTGAATGAATATTCACGAAAACTTGGTTTCTGCTAGAAAATGGTCCAATATGATTTTGGGTGAAAATGACCAGAAATGCTTCCCGTTTCGCTTCTCAACACTTCTGACTTTCAAAAATTGCTCCTGATCTCCTTGAATAAATTATTTCTTACCAGTTTTCATCATGTTACATGAATGTCATTCACTTTGTTTCTCAAATTTTTCGTACTAGTTAAAAAACGTTGACCAAAGTCCATACATAGAGAGATAGAGAATTTTCCGCGCTTCAAAAGGAACTAGTGACACGCTTCTCAAACATATGGTCACATAGAATAGTTATCAAAATACTCGACAGATGTCATGATTTCCAGCTATTCTAATACTTTAAAGGGACACTTCTTTGATGCTTCTACTCAGACCCGGAAGGTTTGTATATCCAAAGATAGAGACTTTTCTGCGCTTCAAAATGAGCTATAAATAATCTTTTCAAAAATATGTCCACATAAGACGCTTATCAAAATATTCGACAAATATCATGACTTGCACCTATTTTAAACATCTAAAATAATAGATAGAGAATTTTCTGGGCTGTAAAATGAAGTAGAACATTGTTTTTAAAAATTTGCCCTCATAGATTTATTGGCGAAATACTGAATAGATACCTCGATTTTTACCCGTAGTTATATATAAAAATAATCACAGTTTCTTTCACAAACAGAAATTAGGAATAGTTTGTTGTCAATAGCTCGTTTTGAAGCACGAAAAAAATTCTCTATCCCTCTATGTATGAGCTTTGGTCAAAGTTTTTGAAATTGTACGAAAAATTTAAGAAACAAAGTGGATGAACTTTCATCATGAAGATTCATTCACTTTGTTCCTTAAATTTTCATCACCAGTTCACTGAATTGGTGATGAAAACTGGTAAAAAATAAATTTTTCATGGAGCTCAGGAACAATTTTTGAAAGTCAGAAGTCTTGAGAAGCGAAACGCGAAGCATTTCTGGTCATTTTCACTCAAAGTCATATTGGGCCATTTTCTAGCGGAAACCGTTTCGCGTCCTTTCGCAAGACGCTGGCGTAATTATCGTTTTTGCTAGAATATTAGAAATTCATCGTTTATACATACACTTGTCCGAAACTATTTGTGCTAATCTGCGATATTGTGTGTGCATTTCAAATCCTCCTGATAATGCATAACTGCTCCCTTCGTGGAATCGATTTCTAAAATGCGAACTTTTTCCATCTATAATTGGATTTGTATCTGTTAGTGGTTGTTCATGGTTTTGTAGAACGCTACTAATAGCGTTTATCATGCCTTGAGTTGAACATTGATTGTTTACAGGTTTGATAATAGCATTGTCTAAATATGGTATTATATCAACAGCATACATCATTTGTTTTATACTTATCTGGAACATGGTAATAAATTTCAAATAGGATATTTTGTCATAATCACAGCTATCATATTCATTTGTAATAGTTGATTTATAATCAAGAAACATTTGTTTGTATAAAATCCAAAATTGTTTATCCGATAAAGTATCAGATGAACTAAATGCATTTAATAATAGTCTGTAACATGTATTAGAAAATTCGGATTTTTGATAAGGAAAATATTTTTTTAAAATTTCAAAATGTTCTTTATCGGCTGAATCTTCTTGTTCAATGTATTCCTTACTGAATTCGTATTCTTCATCCTCTTTGGTATATTCGTCAGCATCATCAATATCAGCATTTGTTATTAACATCTTGATTATATTTGTTTGATTATCAGTTAATCGTTTGCTTATTGTATGTAACAATTCAGTATTGTGATGTTCAAGTATATTAATGTTAGAAATAAAATAATGTTGACAATATTTTGTATGCAATTTATCACAAGCAAATCTAATCCATATCTTAGTTAATTCTTCAGTGATATTCACACACTGTATTTCTGCCAGATTCATTATTTCACAAAGCCATAATACAGTCGTTTTAATGAAATAAGAGGTTAAATGTATACCATCGATTACAATGGAACGTATATATTTGTAATAGATAGCTCTTGCGATACCTACAAGAATAACAACATAACCTGAACATCTTAATTATATTAAAAAGAAAGACTTATGGTGATGATTATATAGCCCTATTCAGAATTTTAAGAATTGAATTTCAGTAAGATGTTAAATTTGTCATGCCGTCCGTTCATACTCATTAATAAGAATATTATTATAAAACAGATGCCATTTAACGTTCTTTATGCAAACGTGAGATCGTCATTTATCTAAAACTGTTCTTTTAGACGAAACAAAATCAAATTTTATTCTGTTTGTTAATAATATTTCCAGAGGAATTGAACCATATGCATGTGTGCATTGATGATCCTCCATCCAAATATGTTGTTAGAAAAATATAAACACATTTGTTTTATGCATACAAATTTTTTGTAAAAAAAGCAACTGGTTTTTGCTTGAAATTGTTGCTCATGTACCGACTTTTGCTTGTCTGTAATGCTAAATTACTCAATAATTATAAAGTGACTGTAATTTCAAGAAAATACTTAATAAATAACATTCGTCTGACCTTAAAAATTAAGTCAGTCACATGGGATTTGTAGTTTGAAAGTGATTTGTTATTTTTTACGTGATGACAGTGTAAAAATATACATTTTTAAGAAAACTAATTTTCCACAAAGACATGCAAAACCCCAGACCTAAAAGTAGTTTTTACTAGTGTTTATCTCTTTCATAAACTATTTAGAGAAACATAAATAAAAGGCTCAATGGAACTGTACCTTCTTTAGGTTCGTGCGTGCATATGTTAACGATCTCTCAGACCCTAGTTGTCTTTTAACTGTGCGTCTGAAATGTCTACATAAAACGTACCGTTTAATAAATTTTCATTATTGGTCCGATTATCAGCCAAGATTAATTCTAATTTTGATAACGAATAACGAAATTCTAAATTTGAATCCAATTTATCTTTGTTAATTGCTGATGATTTCGAAACAATATAAATCGTACAATCGTTGAGAAGTTTCTGATATAAATCTGGCCGATAAACTTTAATTCGCTTTAAGGTTTTGTCAATGATATCGGGTATGTAATCTAACTCGAATGCAAATACAATATCACATTCTATACTTGAGATTGCAGTTTGTTTTCTTATAATTTCTCTATCTGCTAAACTTCTATATTTCAAATAAAATTCCATCAGAGTTATGATTCTTAGTTTCATTTGTGGTGAAAATTCTATACCAAATATTGGTGACAAAAAAGATGTGCAGAATTCTACTGAATTACAGTAAAATAAGTCTTTTCCATTACTACATTCAGACAAATTGTTAAGTAATTCAATATAAGGAGAGACATTTTGTCCCGTGCTTTGTGTGAAATAAGCCATACTGTTGACGATCATAGATTGTCTAGCCAATTGTAAATAATTGTTAAAGCTGTTATAGCATGGTTGGGTGCTTTGCTGTTGAAACAATCCAATTTTGTTAAAAAGTGATACATAATCTGGTATTTTTTCACTATACATGATCGTACATTGTATGCTTGGCGAAAAATGAAATCTGTCCTTCTCCTCTATTTTGATGTAACTACTTATGTCCGAATTCTTTTCGAAATATTCGAATAATCGTTGTTTACATTTGACACCATCGATATATCGAAAACTAAGAGAATCTTGTGTAGCAAATTCTTCATAATCATTCATTGTTAGAGAATCATAATGTATTTTAACAAAGCCGGGTGCATTTGCTATATCTTCAATTTTATGTTTTGAAATTTTCATATTTGTAATATAGAGACGATCCATTTCTGGACTGATATCAGAGTTCCTAAATCGTGCTTCGGATTGACCTTCTACAATGCTACCACTATCGAGTTTTCTCAACTCTATAGCCGGAGTCAGATGTATGATGTTAATCAGATTCGTTTCCGAAGGATTACGGTACAATTCTTTCATTATTATTGAAAAAAGATTTTTCAATCCTTGTATATAACAGTGATCTATAAAAGAAGAAAAACGAGTTCCCGACGATATATGTTCCCTATGGACATGGGTTACTGACTTATTTCCTTTGTTGATGCATATTTCTCGTAAGTTCGTATTAAAATATCATACATGAAAAGAAAAATTCCCAGACTGGGAAAAACAATTTTGTTTGAAATCTCTTCTTGTTTGTCAAACGGCACATCGACTGAGCATGTTTTCGACATCGGAGATTTCTACAAAAAGCAAAATAAAAAAGAAGTATCTACTACACCTATATTGTTGTCATAGATCTGTATTGTGTATTGTTTCCAGATAATTATTTTTTACACATGCAGATTTGGTAAGGCCTTGGCTTGTTTCCAAGTTCGATTTTCTTTCATACGAAATATGTTAGAGTGATATCTATGGAACATATCTCGTTTCTTAGTATTTAATGATCGACTTTTCACGGATCCATCAAGAACCTTAGAAAATGTCATTCACAATTTTACTCGAAAAACACATAATAGACATGCAGTTCTTTGTGATGATTGGTGTTTGAAGAAAGTAGTTTAGACTGAGAAAGCAATCTTGCTTTTTCTATAATATTGATAATCCTATCATTTACCTTCAAAGCGACGCGTTTCTTCACCAACAGAAAGCCTAATATAAAACTACACAGAAGAAAGAGCGATAAAAATCAGTCATCTTCCATCTGTCCACGATGTTTTCTGACGAATTGCAAAACGAGCAAAAGCATGTGTTTGGATTTAATTTTATGAGCGCACAGTTTAGTCGAATCCTTATACGCACCCAAAGAATAGATTATTAGCTTCAGTTTATTTGGATACAACAAGGTACGGACAATCAGCTAAGTTCAGTCTCGTCCAGCATTTCAGATATGAGCTTGGTTTTGCATTTTGTATCTGAAGGTCTGAAACTTAAGTGAAGTTATGTACTGAATAGTCACTATGTGATACAGTTACAGACATACAGTTTTGCATTATGAAAATATGTTTGTATGAGACTGCTTGTCGGACTCACTCTCACGCTGCTCATACCCTCATCTCCCACGACACACTGCCAAAAACACCCAAATATGTACTTTGAAAAATTTATGGAAGAGCCGGGATCCTGATCACGGTAATGTCGTGTCGCGTTTTACCTCTAAATAAGCTTGTCGTCAGGTATAATTTATTCGAATCACTAAAATGAAATATATAGACATAAAAACAAATGCGCTTTCTTTCTTTCTCTAACTACTTCAAGAAGAAAAATGTTTATTCATTGTGTACTCTACACCAACAAGCTCGAGCTTTCAAGCTCGAATTTTAGTTTTCTGAAAAGCGCACGATGCTTATGGAGATCAGCTGAAGGTTATGAACAATGACCGCGAGTCCAAAAGTCTCTATCTGACGAAGATATAGCCACAAAATGTCTACATGTTAGTAAAAAGAAATTCATTCATGGATCGCAGAAATGTTATTTTATTACCGTGACGGTGTGACACTCTTTCTTAGAGAGCAGCAGTCGGTATTCAGCACGGCCAAAAGAACTTTATTTTCATCTTTACCAGAGCTCTTGCTAGGTACTCATGATTTACGGGAGAATTGGCACTCTAAACGTCAAATCCCGGCTGGAAATAGCCCGAAACCTGGACGTCTGCGGAAAGCCTGGTGCTTGGCGAAAAAACTCACTGTCAGAACAAAATGAGCCATTTTGTAGAGAATTTAATTGGCTATCAATTGCTGTACTTTCGATAGTTTTTAGACAACATTTCTAGGTCAGAAAATTGAAATTAAACCTTTTTAAAAAGTTAAACTCAATTTTTATAGCCGATAACCAAAATTCTGTTTTAAAACAACACGAGATTCGTAGTGAGCATGAAAATCTGCGTTTGGCGCTGTGCTTGAACTACCACGATGGAAATTATTTTTTAAAAACTTAATCAGGAAAGTATCGCGTTACGTGTACAAGCCCGTAAGCAAAGATGAAGAAAAAAGAAATTCAATTTAAAGTTTTTTGTTGGTTTCTGTGTATCCTTGGTAGTTTCTTACTTATTTTTTATGATTATTATATTAACAGTAAATAAATACGTCTAATATTTGGTATAGAGTACACAATGATTAAATATTTTTCTTCTTGAAGTAGTTAGAGAAAGAAAACGCGCTTCTTTTATGTCTTGAAAAATATTATTTCATTTTAGCGATTCGAATAAATTATACCCGACGACAAGAGTTCTTTAGAGGAGAAAGCATGACTCCTCGAAATTAAAAAAGAGCGAGTTCAGACAAGAATATTGTGAACTGCTTATTTAAAGAGATTCACTTTGTTGAAACATGTGTACTCTATCCCAAAATAGAATAAGAATCTGACAAAAGATTCATTTTAGATGAGATATTTTTCGGCCAGAGTATCTTTTGGGATTGGATTTTGTAGAAATCCTTGGTCGATATGCACCAGTACCACTATACTGGCACTCAGATGCTTTGTAGCTCAAAGGGTTTGTTGTACAACTAGTTTGTGGCACAAATGCTTTGACACCTAGATAAAGTGACATAGTTTAATGCGAGTTTTTGTAGATTAAGGTTTTTCTAGACCCTTATACACGATACGTCGGCGTCTAATATTCCATACTTTGAACTTTACACAAGAATACTCCGTCAAATAATTCTACATACATAACTATGTAGATTTTGTTTACTTCAGTCTCAGAGTACTTATTCTGCGCCATATCTCAGGCCGTTTCCCTTCACCTTCGTCTATTATCTTGTTCCCTTTTGCTGACACTGTTTTCAGTTTTTGCTGAGAATTTTCTTTTAATTGCTTTTTCTACCTTTTAAGGGCTAAAAGCCTTTTACAAACCTTGTCCACGAATTCCTATAGTTACAGGTACATTCAGCACCAAATCTATTTACTAGGAGTTGTGAGATCTCATGATGGAATTCGCTAGACATGGTTATATCGGGTTATATCATTGCTAGTATACTGTCGTCGATTCTGATTGTTGTTGTTTCTGAGCTTCTCTGCTGACGCAAATATCACATTATTTATGTTAATAGTGACAATATGTATTTCCACGTCAGTATTAGCGATCCGTCAAGTTGAAATATAAATTAGTACAGCATTTTTTGCACCCTGTACTCTATCATATTAAAATTTTCGTAACCTGAACCTATCGGGTTACATCATTGCTAGTATTCTGTCGTCGATTCTGATTGTTGTTGCTTTTGAGCTTCTCTGCTGACGCAAATATCACATTATTTATCCATCACCCTGTACTCCGTCATATTAAAATTTTCGTCTGAACCTTACTCTATCTTTATCCAAATTTTTGGATTCAGAGAGATCCCGAGATAACTTTATAGATCCATAAACATCTGAAATTTGTGTGAAGAACTGAATAGCCCTTCAATAAACTTTTTATACGTTTCAAGCAGAATATTGAATGGAACGAAGAAATTCAATGTAAAGTTTTTTCTTGGTTTCTGTGTATCCTTGGTAGTTTCTTACTTATTTTTATGATTATTATATTAACAATAAATAAATACGTCATACTGGAAATAGCCATGTGTTCGTTACCTCATATATATAAAACGCAAAAAACATACACATAAATGCATTTTTATTCTACACACCAAATATAAGGTGAATATTTTAATTTGAAAATACCAAGATATTTCCAGAAATTGTTACAAAATAGCTAGTAAAAAAAGTCAAATATCGTGAATATGAACATCGAGAATTACTTAACAAAACGTGTCTAACCGAAAAAAGACTTGATCACAAGGAGAAAAGAAACTGACGCAGTTTCTTTACTCTCGTTTGGGTGGTATGATCAAAAGTTTTCGTGAACATCATCATTTTTTGAGCTAATGGATAAAAAAATTGAATTTATATCCTAATCGGCGCAGACGTTTTTTTCCTCTACTGTACGAATACTAGATGGCTTCCACACGATAGTTGAAAGTGTTTTCTGCACCACAGGTACTAGGCGAGACCGCGGTTTCAGGAATCATAGAGGACTTCTTTCGAGCCCCAGACCGATACTCGGGGAATCGAGGTGATATTGAAATCACTTGCAGCATATGTAGTCGACCACGCTGAATTTGGAAACAATGCTTGAACGTCGATTTGTTTCCAAAAAAATCTCAAAACGTCGGTTTATATAGTGAGTTTCAAAGTTATGCCTGAATTTTCCTGAGACCCATTGAAGAATCGCTTTTTCAATAATTTTTTGAAAAGTTTGTCTCTTACGTAAAGATACGGCGACATGTTGACTATGAAATGACGAAAACTATAAGCCTTCGAAAAGGAGGACTAGCAATTAAAATTAAAATTTGAATTTAAGCTTAATTATTAATATCTATAAATATTAATATAGATCAAACATATCCGATGGATTCCGGATAGTGTCAAAATGTAGCTAGGTATGCATCAGTATCAGTACACTGACAATACTGATACTAATGAATGCTGACTGCTAAGAATACCGACAACGAAAAAAAACTTTTTAACTCTAAAACTATATCGTCACAAAATGTCTGGCAAATCTAATGCGTTCGAAATAACTCAGTGTTTTGTTGTTTTCGCTCGATTTGACTATCCCAATTGTTTGAATGATTTCGGCTTCAACGACACATTTTTATCGGTTATTAATGATGCTGGTTACGAATCTGAGCGTCGCTAGATCTATAGTGTGATTAAAAACGACCAACATCTTGTGACAATATAGAATTAAGAAAGTTTTTTTCATTGTCAGTATTCAGTATTCATCAGTATCATGCAGGCAATTTAAGATAAAGGACCTTGACGATCCAAGTTTTCTAGAAAATGTTCTAAAGTTAAACTGTATCCAAAATCTTTTCTGGCCAATGATTACATAAACAGTTCAACGAGGAGAAATTTATACAGCTCTACTTATCTATCAGAGAAAGCACGAAACCTTTTAAATTTCTGTTTAAATTTTTTTCTATCAATTTTCCACTATC